GAATAATTTTTAATGATAAACTAAATGGTACCTGTTAGTAAACCATTCTACGTAATTGATATGCAGGGTGATCTGTAGCTTAAATGCATAACAACATATTGCAGAATAAGGTACATATCATAAATTAGTAACATAAGGGAACATTTATTGGCATGCTCGTAATCCTCCCTTGTAATACTGAATTGAATTTTTCTATCTTTATTAGCATATGGGCTCCTATGTGGATGCCTCGATATTGCCTGAATATTCATTATGATAATTTACTTGGTTGTGGCTAGCAGAGTAATCCAGGATGCGTGCTTCTTCCTATTTGGGACTCTTTAGCTGGATGTGCCTACGCCCTATTGATTGGTGTTATTTGCACTGAGACTTGAATCTCGTAGCCATCGCTTCAACTGTCAAGGCGCTATCCACTAGGCCACTGAGGCACAATAAATGCCTCTTGTACAACGGGTATTAGTTATTACTGTTTGTTCATATACTTGTAGTTCTTCGTTGTAATACCGGATCAAATTTTTCGACCTCTACTGGTATGTATGCTCCTATGTAGATGCGTCGATATTGCCTGAATATTAATTATTTATTATGGCAACAACATCACTGGGTTGCAGGTACACCCAGCTGACAAGTCCCAAATAAGCGAAACGTGCGTCCTAGATTCCTCTGCTAGCTAAAACCAAGTAAATTATCATAATGGAACATTTTTGATAGGCCAAGTGAAGGTGTGAAGCGATTGGAGGGATGTCGACATTGAATAGATTGAAGGTGAACTGCTTCATTGTGAGTAAAACACCTAATAATCAATTCAGAGATTGACTAGTACTATACAGCTAACTAGTGAGTAATTAATTCACTAATTAGGCAAACTAGGCCAGGAAGGAACACAAGAAATATTGGAACTTGCGGTTTTGATTCACTGAAAATGCTATCAAGTAAAGTTGAAGATTAGCGATATTTCATTTTCTACTTGGATGTTTAATTTGTAGATCTGAATTAGATTGGCACTTGTGCACGTTTTAAACGCAGAGCAAGTTTACTGTGAAATCAAAACTTGTAGAAATAAACACCGAAGAGCTTCCACCCGACCTCCCAGAAATCCAGTGGAACTGGAAAAGCTTGGAAACACTTCAGCCACGCATCTACATGCTACAATTTTAGGTCACAAGATCGATTTGACAATATTGAAATTACTCGAACAGGCTTTAGAAATCATGAGGAACGTCCTACAGCAGAATCTCTTCACATTAAGTGGAATCGAAATTTACGTTGATCTTGGTGACTAGCAGAGGAATTCAGGACGTGCACATATAAATTGCAATCTGTAATTCATACACTCTTCACATACATACAACACTACATATGGATGTCATCTTTACTCAACGATTCTGATAACTCAGGATCATTCATGCAAAAGAACACTTGTCAACTTATCATATATAACCTTGGGGGATACTGTAAATTCCTTTTCAGTATAACTTAAATAAGGCTATTAGCAGTACTAAAAGGTTAAACGTCAGTTGAAAGAAATTTATTTTGTTTAACGTTGATTGAGAAATGAAAAAAATACCCAAATAATGTGCTTTTTTTATTTCGCTGTCTAATGATGACATGTAAATTGCTTGAGAGCAGCAGTATCTTGCATCTATCCTTGGAAATATGTCGTTGAGATCCTTTAAATTTTTGTTTCTGCTCATCCCAACCATGATGAAATCATATGATGATAAAAGTAGACAGATAGCTTGACGCATGATTCATTTCCTTCCAAAAACCCATCCAAATTGATATTCACCGTTCAGCGTAATAATTACTTCCTCTGGACTTCATTAATCCAACCAATCCAGCAGTTGTTTGTTTCATTGGATTTTCGAACCGCTTGTCTAAAATGTTGGTATTTTTCAAGTTAGTATTCATCATGGACTGACATCAGTTGAAGGAACATTAGAAACCTGGGAAACTGGACAGCTGTTTCATCCTAGTATGGGACTCCTCAGCAGCGCACACCCATGACCCCTCCCCGCCAGAGATCGCACCCAGAACTTTCAGGTTCTGTGGCCAGCGCGTTACCATTAAGCCAGTGCGTTGGAATCCAATAGACTACATCTCCGACTTCTGTTAATTCATGACATCTTTGAGTATTTGTCCTCGTGGCCACCAGGTTTACCCCACCAGTCACGACTTCTCTTTGGAACTTCAGGAATCACCTCTTGAAGCTAGTCACCAGTGAGGCCTAGCTCATCATGAACTCACATCAGTTGGAAGAACATTGGAAACCTGGGAGCACTGGATGGCTGTTTCGCCTTACTACGGGACTCCTCAGCAGTGCACACCCATGATCGTACCATCCAGGGATCCATCCCAGCACCTTCCGGTTTCATGGCTAGCACGTTAGCACTGGGCCACTGGGTTGGAATCCAACATTCCATATTTCTTACTTCTGTCAGTTCATGACATAGTGCGACCATCACCCAATGTCATCTTTGAGTATTTGTCCTCATAGCCACCAGGTTTGCCCCAACTGGAAAACTCATTGAATCCCCACAAACCTCCAGACTAAATTGTTGATATTATAAGGTAGAATGGGCAGTGATGAGGTCCTTCAATAAACATTTGATTAACATCATCTGAAACTATCCTTTGATCGTTTCATCAAGTCATTTCTGTATGAGACAAAGGTGTGCGTGGTTTGTAAGTGCAGTTCTGTATTATTTTTTATCATTCAAAGCTTGAAATATGCTGATCTAACCATCTCCCTAGTTTTAATAATGGATAGTGGCTAGCAGTGGAATTCAGGACGCGCGGTTCATCCTATTTGGGACCCGTCAGCTGGATATACCTGCTTTCCAGTGAGTGTTGTTCCCACCGAGATTCGAACTCAGAACCGATTGCTTCAAACTACAGAACATTATTCACTGTTAGCCACTATCCATCATTAACATATAATGCAAACACAGGCGATATCGAGACACCCACACAGGAGCTCATATGCCAATAAAAACCAGTTAATTAGTCCAGCCAACAACAAGGTACTACAATCAACAACATTAAAACTATACCCGTCGCACAAGATGTCATTGTGAACTGATGGCCTAGTGGATAACGCTGTGGTGTTTGAAGCAGTCGGTCCCGAGTTCGAGCCCACGTGGGAACAATATCACTCACGGGAGGCAGATGCATCCAGCCAACGAGTCCTAAATAAGACGAAATGAGCATCCTGGATTCCATCACTAGCCACTACCCATCATTAATATATAATTAAAACACAGGCAAATATCGAGACATCTGCGCAGGAGCATAAATGTCAATACAGACCGATCAGTATTAATACTATTTCCCTAGTTTAATTTGAAAAATCCCCAATCTCATTAGTTAATTGTTTTGTCTAGGTTGCTATTCTTGGTACCTTTAATCTTACCTTTTATGTAAATTTATATCTTCAGGTCTACTTGATCTGCACTAGTGAACAAGTGTGTATTGTTTTATAAACGGAATACTTTTCCATCAAAAAAATTATAATTAGAGTAGTTGTTTTTTTCAGCGAAGAGGACTCTTTTCAACGAATTTATTCTCAAGCTGTACATTCGTATATACATGATGAAGACTGTAATCCGTGAGGAAGATTTAACTTAAATAATGAGGGGTTAAAACAATAATAATGGTGGTTATAATTATAATGTTGCTAGTTGATGACGAATGGTAACAAAATAGGGTTGCGTAAGATTTTTAAATCGTTTATAAGGTGCATATAGATTACAAAGGGGTGGAAACGTGATACAGTTAATAAACAATCGAAGGATTAGGTAATATGAGTGAGACACGTTAATTAGAATAAATTGAAAATGTTTTGTTAAAAGTTGTGATTATTAGGAAAATCAAATGAAATAGCACCGGAAACAATTAAATATAAAAGTAAAGTGATAATGATGATATAAGAGTACAAAGATTAATCTGACAAGAAAGGAGGTGTGAAAAACGAAAAAGGAACGAAGTACACCAAGACTGAAATAAATTAAGGCCAAGGTAGAGACAGACTAAACATACTTCTTTTGCACACAAAGGTCAGACTTCATGGATAGCCAAGGCCTCTGCTGTTTTTAGAAGCTGAACACGGAGGAAACATGCGGTGTTTGAAGGAATTTGATAGACAACCTTGAAATCCCTGTTGGTTCGGTTGAATGGTTGGAATCGATTAAATGCTCGAGGACAGAACTTCTGATGCATTTCTTTTTTAACCCTTATGAAACTAGGCTAGAATAAGTTCTCAAATACTTGTTGACAGCAATCTCTGACTACTGCCGATGTACCTAATCCTTTGAATCTTTATTAACCCTATCACGTCCCCCCCCCCCTCATCCTTTTGTAATATATATGCACCTTATAAACGATTTAAAAATCTTACGTAACCCCATTTTGTTATTAACCAACCTTAACGTCATCAACTAGCAACATTATAATTATAACCACTATTATCATTACTACTTACTGACATACTTGTTATTCTCCGTTGTTTTCTTGGATCGTCATGGATTCTTCTGCTAACCATATCCAACCAAATTATCACCATTATTATTGTTTCAACTCCCATTATTTAACGTAAGTCTTACAGACTTCAAAAATTATATATATATATATATATATATATATATATATATATATATATATATATATATACCATCTGGCAGTGTGCCGTGGTTTTCAAATCATAAATCACTGTGACTCCTAGGTCATTGTGGGCCAGTACTGACGGTAAAGCGGTCCCATCAATGTCGTACGCGCTGTCATGTATGTGCCCCAAGTGCATGCTCACACATTCACCTGCGTTGATAGGCATCAGCCACTTCTCCAATAGGTAAACGAGGTGTTTAAGTCTGCCTGAAGTGAAAAGAGTCCTCTTCTCTGATTATCTTGTTTTTGATGTCACAATGAGAATAATGAACGTATTATTATTTTGTTTTTTTGTAAAAGTCTATTTTCATCCAAATTTTATTTTACATTACATACAGAGAATCATTCAACATGAACTAATTCCTGATTATTTGTTTTCAAAATTCAAAAATCGTACCGTAGAAACCAATTTGAGAGATATTTTTGAACAAATAAATATTATTCGTACTGTAGGCAGTCCTGGTCATTTAAAAGTTAGACAGGTAAGTTTACATTTTTTTTAAATAAATTATATTTTTAATATCTTAATTATATCAATGAAGTTTATTACACGCTATTTAGAAGAACATGGTTGGAAAATTGAGCTGGATACTTTTGAAGAAGATACAATAATTGGTCAAAAAATATTTCACAATATTATTGGATATAAAGATCCTTTGAAATATTCAAAATTTTTAATTTTGGCCTGTCATTATGATTCAAAAATGATTACAAACTTTGTTGGTTCAACAGATTCAGCAATGCCTTGTTCAATTATCTTAAAAATTATTGATTCAATAAATGATGGGATCAATTCTTTACAGGTAAGACGTGTCAATTATAGTGTTATTGCTTGTATTATACCGTCGTTGATTGGACCTAATTGATCAGTCTCTATTGGTATATGGGCCTCTGTGCGGATGCCTCGATATATTGCCTGTGTTCTAGTTATAGTAAAGATGGATAATGGCTAGCAGTGGAATCCAAGATGCGCATCGCGTCCTATTTAGGACTCGTCGGTTGGATGTACCTGCGTCCCAGTGCGTGGTGTTGTTCCCACCAGGATTCGGACTCTCGAGCGACCGCTTCAAACACCAGAGCGTTATCCACTACACCATCGAGCCACGATAGCCACTTCTTGTGCGATGGATATAGTTTTAGTGTTATTACTTGTATTACACCGTCGTTGATTGGACCGAATTGATAAGTCTCTATTGGCATATGGGCTCCTGCGCAGATGCCTCGATATATTGCCTGTGTTCTAGTGATAGTAAAGGTGTTAATTATACCTAAGGTTTATTCTATTTTGTTTCACAATTACTTCTTCTTAACCATATATTGTTTGTTCTGTCCATAGTGTGTTATGAAATGGAGACTGTATAAAAGAATAGCGGATATGAACAATTCTGGTTGTCGCATACCTATGGAGAACTGATTTTAACTTATAGCACATTTAATTTGAGCCTTCAGTACTTACTACTTAGTACACGTTTTGATCTTTATTAAATATTTTTTTTTGTTGATAGAATTTCAACATTGGTCTAAAGGTTGTCTTTTTTGACGGAGAAGAAGCCTTTCAAGAGTGGACAGATACTGACAGTTTGTATGGATCACGACATTTAGCCTCAAAATGGGATAAGAAATCATTACCGTCAGGTCAAACAGAATTGAGTAAAATTGTAAGCTTTATACAATAAAATATAGCAAAATTATTCTGGATGCATGGGTGTATGTAATTTGTGCACTGATTAATTGTATGTGTGTGAGGCAGGATACAGGCAGGTGTTCACAATCTACTGTTGCTGTGATGCATGATGTTTCATATACTTGGAAATATATTTGGACCAAAGTAATAATTTTTTGAAACTTATTTTCTACCCCTTCCCCTTCACGCCCTGTTGTCCAATCAAAATGGACGAGGAAACGTCCCATGTGATTGGTTGCATGAAATCAAAAAGTACTATAAAACGGAGCAAACTGAGAAAGGGTTGCTTTATTTTCATGATGAGCGACGATACCATCCTATGTTGTAACCGAAAACGAACCAATCTTTATAGTGTTTTTGTCTCGCCGCGTTTCAGACCTGAGAGTCTTTGAAGGTCGCCCTCAGTTAGTACCTGTTTACGAAGACCACCTTGATTTTGGTCAGAGCTATCAAGGTAGAGTAATAAGTTTTTCACCGACATTATTACAGCTAGTAGTGTATTCCTACAAGTACACTTCAAATGAAAAGTTTACAAGTAGTGGTAAACTTTTATTTCAGTAAATTAGTAAGAAATTATTTCGACCATTGGTATGATCACGGGGAGTAATTTCGTTCGAACCATTAACAAAATAATAACTTATGATTATGTGAAACTTTTGAATTAATACACTTAAGATTTAGATTTCTCTGCAAACCTCATTTACAGCTATAAATTACACCCAATACATATTGATCTCAGGGACTACCAGGACGCCCGTTTCGTCCTACTAGGGACTCGTCAGCCGAATATAGCAGCACTCCAGTGAGTGATGTGGTTCACACAGTAGGTCGAACACATTACCCATCGCTTGAAACTCCAGAGCGTTATCCACCAAACCGAGTACCAAACAGAAAAAAACGCCAGTCCTGGAGTCCTCTGTTATTCACCGAGATCAATGTAACATCATGAATAAGTAGTAGTATCAAGGCATCCTCATAGGAAGGAGCCCATCTACCAACAGAGATCGAGCAACTCAGCCTTGTATGACAACGGGAAATTACAATTATCATAACAACAATTACACTCGATACATTTTGAAACAAGCTCCCCGAAATGTTACACAATATCGTCACTACAGAATTAAATTCCCCACAAATTTTAAGTTCATTTTGGATTTAATCTTAAGCTGATGGCGATTAACTTCTTAAAACATTATTTATCCGACAAGTGATGATTTTCCAAGCCAAGATGAGTGCAGATAGCTCAACTAATCAGATTCCTACAAGTAAGTGTCCTACTCCAATAGGAAAGTAGCATGGCCACACAAACACTGATTTTTAAATCGAGGAATCAACCAATCATTTTTCACTTCCAATTTATTTCTTCCACCCTAAATAAATTAGGGGGGAAAAGTGTGCCGGGTGGTAAACGTCAACCGTATACTTGAGTGGATTTAAAAGTCACTCTAACACCTGACGAGATAACCAATTACGGTTCTTTATTTTATAAAGAAATGCCACCCCCCCCCAGTTCAGTTTACAGAACCCGAATTGGTCATTTCAACAGTTGCTAGGGTAGTCTTTAAAGTCACTCATATACTCGTATATTGGTTGATTTAGGTCACGACGTCTTTGGCGTGATTGACTGACTGTAACAGATCAAGCTATGAAGGAAATTAAAGACCAAATAACTTGAAGGCCCTCTTTAACAATGACTGAAATAACCAAACAGATTTTCGTATTTCATCTAGGAAAACAGTTTTGCATAAGGTAGAGAAAAGTAATTGATTATTTCAATTGTTGTTAGGGCGCCATGTAAAGCCACTCCCTCAAAGTTACTCAATTTAGTTAACTTTAACGGTCACCTTAGCAATTCACTAAAATCATCACCTAAGTTCCTATAATTCAGTTAGAAAAGTAGTTTTTTCATAAAATAGACAAAATGAATAGACTATTTTTATAGTTTTCAAAGTGGCCTTTAAGGGGGACTCGATTATGACAAGTTACTTTAAACGCCACCCTAACAATTGCTGAAAAATAACCAGTCAGTTTTCGGTATTTCGTGCGTGAAGGTTATTTTTCAGAAAATAGAAAAATGGTATTGGTTATCTCAGCAATCGTCAGGGCGGCCTTTAAAGTCACTACGTAAAACAGCGTTCATCTAACCTCCAAATAACAAAGAGTGACTTTAAACGCCACTCTGGTAACTGCTGAGATAACCAATTACTCCTAACTGGTTTTCAAATAAGCTAACTGGTAAATCAATCGATACTACTACTACTACTAATTCAGATTCCGATTTGTTGTTTAAGGATAGAAGGGTGTAAGGCCGTATAGATCCTTTTCAGTAGATTTCTATGCTTGTCCAATCCCCTGTTGAACGAGTCAGCTGATGATGCGGACAACTTTTCTTGGAAGTTGGTTCCAGAAGTTGATTACTCGACGCGAGAACCAGTACTCTGCAGAGACTTTATTCGTTCTTTGCTTTTGTAGCCTCGTTCTATATCCCCTGGGGTGTTCCCACCTAATGGGAAGGGAAGAAGACCGATCAAGTCCAAAATCATTTCTTAGAATCCTGAATAGCATGATTAGACCCCACCTCTGTCTGCAATAGGATAAATAGAAGAGGTTCAGTCCCTAAGTCGATCTTCACAGGTCAGACCAGCCATCGCAAGCACCATGCGAGTGGCTGCCCTCAGAACTCTTCCCAGAAGGTCTGCGTCATCTTTCAGACAAGGATTTCCTACCTATGTATAGTTTTCTAATTTAGACCTAACTAAGAATGTGTATAAGATTGTGAACATATCGCCACTTATTTTTGTAAACGTTATGCGTAATGCCCGAAGTGTCCTTAAACTCCAAGCTGCTACGAACTGGCAGTGTGCCGTGGTTTTCAAATCATAAATCACTGTGTCTCCTAGGCCATTGTGGGTCAGTACTGACGGTAAAGCGGTCCCATCAATGTCGTAGGTGTTGCTGTATGTGTGCGCTCACACATTCACCTGTGTTGATAGGCATCAGCCACTTCTCTAATCATGTAAACAAGCTGTTTAAGTCCACCTGAAGTTAACATATATCCGCATGATTACGAATTTCCCACCAGATGTTCGCATCATCAGCGTAGAGAACCATAGGGGATTTCGTGATATTTGGCAGCTCATTTGCATATAAGAGGGGACCTATGACTGTGTCTTGTGACACTCCACTGTTTACTGACTTCCAAGATGAGAGTTGGGTATTGATGCTTATTCTTTGTCTCCTACCAACAGGGAACTCTCTTATCCATACAAGTAGACTCCTAGTGGTTCCAGTAATAATAATAATAATAATAATAATAATAATAATAATAATAATAATAATGCAGTTGCATCGGCCTACTTATTGACAAAGCAAAAGAACACAATAATACCATAATACCGCTTGCTGTGCGTTAGGTTCTTAAGAATATAAGAATAGGATTTGAGCACTAATTATGAACAGTACAGTACTCGTAGTTAAAAGTGGAGCTGGATAAAACTGTAATACAAATCTTTCACCTTCACGAATTTGAATAAAGCAAGAAGACAATCAGTAGTAGTAGTTAGCGTAGATTATTATTATTATTATTATTATCTGTCTTTTGGGTTTCTAGTGGAACAGGGATTCAGTATCACATCACCATTTCACTCTCTTCTATGCAGTCTTTTGAAGCTGGCTACACGACTGCCCACAAGCTTTCGTTCCTTCTTCACACGATCTCGTCCATTTCACCCTCGGCTGGGACGCCCAACTCATCGTTTCCCATTCGGCTTACACTCGATGGCCTGACTTGGCATCGCACATGATGTCTACAAATGGTCTTCTCAGTGTGTGTCTAATCCAATCCAATCGATCTCGACTTTCTTCTGAATATTTGTCGGATGACAGGTTGTTGGTTGGTTCATTGCCAGCCAGAGTGAGTTTCATGTTGCTTACTTTTTCTGGACTTCTGATCTGATCTTCAGTACCGAGTGAGCGTAGACGGTAGCTGTTGATGATGCATGTCTTTAGTTTGTTGGAAATGCTTTTCGTAACGCACATCCAAGTCTCTCAACCGTCACATAAAAGCACTGACTTAACCGACATTAGTGTTGAAAAGTCGGATCTTATTCACGCTTTATGCTGAGTGGAGTGAAGTGCGGTGCAGTGCAGTAGATCTCCACATTGATTTCAGGTCAATGAAGGCCTGTATTTCTGTATTTCTGACCCTAGCTGTAAAGAATACTGTTGGTTCATATTTGACTTTGAATACGTAAAATGGGAATTTTTAATTATCTGAAATCATATATTGAATAGCAAAAGAAAGTCATGCAATATAGTTGAAGGTTTTAGAGTAGGACTGAGTAATTATCATTTCATGGTCTGGTCAAGAGTTATTTTCTAAGCTTTCTCATTGCTGATCAGAGTCATTGAGTTACCTCGAATTTACTTGATTTAGTATCATGTAGCACTGAAAACAGTTGACAGTAAACCTTGAAACTTGATCTCTCATATATGTCATGGTTATCGATTTGGTTTGATTTCAAATGCTAAGTTGATTTCCTCTCTCACGAAATTACATTACTGCCTTTGATGTAGTTCATTATGTAACTGTACTCTCGCATAATTTCCAAGTGATAATAATTATGGATTTGTATACTTGTAATTTACTTTCGATGTATAGGATCTTCTGGTCCTATTGGACTTACTTGGTGCAAAACATCCTCAAATACCAAACTATCATTATGAAAAAAGAGGGAATTATAACTTGCTTACTCTTTTAGGTAAGCTTGTAATTGTAATTTTGGTAAAATAAGCAATTTTTAATAGAGATTGTTAGAATATGAAGGTATTCTTTATTCATCTTAGTGACTAGTAGTGAACATGGGTTTTGTCCTTTTTGGGATTCGTCAGTTGAATGTGCCTAAACCCCAGTGCGGAGCGATGTTGTTTCTACTCGAACCCAGTGCCTATTGCTGCAAATGCCAAAGCGCTATCCTGTAGGCCAATAGGGCGTGACAACCACCTCTTGTGCAATAGGTATCAGTTTTTTGTTGTTGATAGAAGTCCACCTGCTAACATAGGGAGAGCAATTCGGCCTTGTGTAGTAACCAGAAATAACAAGTATCAAAATAAAGTTAGGAAAAAGTTGTATGAGAGAATCAACAATTTGAAGATAACGGCTAATGTAAATACTCAAAATGTCAAACAGTGTGAATGTATCTGCGCCACTGAGATCCATTTTAGACCATGTCTCCAAGAGTCCTCAACCACTGATTGCTTTCATCCCGGCGACCTCAGCCAGATAATCTACATCTTCCCACTTCGTCGACTGGTACCACGTCTTTTTCTGGCTACCCTGAACATTCTTCCGACATAATTCAACTTACTCTAGCATAGCACGTTGAGGTATATAGTGGCTCGGCATGCTCAGTATATGTCCAAACCATCTCAGTCGATGGAGGTTCCTAACCTCATCAATCTACTTGCTTGTCTTGTCTACTACCCTTAGATTGATTTCGACTCCCCTATGTAACTGTATTTTATTTATCTTGTTATTGATGATAATATAACTGATAGCCTGGCATATGTGCCACAGATTTATTTACTCATCACTTTGAGAATCTCAAGTATTCTCATCATTTCATTATTTAGTCTTCTCTCAAATGGTTTTATTATTATTATTGTCATTTTATTCTCGCTCTATTTCTGCTCACTTCCTCCTTTCGAAGTACAGCAATGTGAACTGGGGAGCTTCTTTGTAGTCCTCTTCTTCTTCTGTCTCAGCTAACTGTGTAACTTTTTATGTCATACTTTGTAAGTCTTCACTACTGATTCGAGTCCTGCAGTGGACAACAACACTCACTGGGAGGTAGGCACATCCAGCTGACGAATCCCAAATTGGAAAAAACATGCGTCCTGAATATTCCTCTGCTAGCCACAACCAAGTTAATTACCATAACAAATAGTTATATTACTGAATTTTATTTTAAAAACGAATTTTGTCACTGATTGTGATTGTTTTGTACATTGATACGCTTGCTAAGTAATCTTTAGGAATAAGATAAGATATGCATAGTGTTTGTATGATGTAACGGCAAGTAGACTATTTTCAGCGTGGATTAGGTTATGATGAACCAACTGACTGAATGAAGTCTAACTCGTAGTCAAGTTGAGTTGTTTAGAGAGAGAGAGAGAAAGAGAGAGTGAAGGTTAGTGAATTGGTGGTAAGTGAATTGTAGGTTGGTATTCGTCATGGACTGACATTAGTCGGAGAAAGATTGGAAATCTGGGAGCAGTGGACAACTTTTTGGTTGTGGTATGGTATTTCAGCAGTGCTCACTCATGACCCCGCTCCACCAGGAATGGAGTCTTGGACCTTCAGGTCTGGTGTGGAGCACGTTACGACTGAGCCACTGAGTTGGAATTGTGATGGTCCACATTTCCTACTTCTGTCAGTTCATGATATAGCGTGACCTCCATCTCATGTTCGACCTGTTTGGCCACACTAGTCATGACTTCTCACTGGAACTTCAGGAATCATCTCTCGAAGCTAGTTACCAACGAGCACTAGATCAATTGATTTTGGGGGTTTGAAGGGATTCGGAAATTTTTCAAGTTGGTATTCATTCTAGTCAGAGTCATGGGTGCGCACTGCTGAGGACTCCCACATTGGGACGAAACGGTTGTCCAGTACTCTCAGGTTTCCAGTGTTCCTCCAATTTATGTCACTCCATGATGAATCCTAACTTGATCTTAAAGTGTTTACCATACACCGATATCAGCAGACAGCTCAGTGGTTGGATGGTGACTTGCTTTTGCTAGCTAGACTTAAGGGTTATGGGTGCTCAGCTCAGGTGTTCTGAAATGAGGAGAAACAACTCTCTAAGGCTTATTGATTTGCAATAGTTCTGAAGCCAATTTCAATGTCAAATGAATGCTTTGAAATACAATATAACTAATTAGCCTGGATTTTTATTAGTCCAATGTTGTGATCATGATGTTTTCATCAACTTTTTATCTGTTGATCGCAAGATATTTCTTTATGATCAGTGTACTTATATACATACATATCCAGACTATACAGTGATAAAGGTGAATTCGTCGTATGAATAAATAGAATTCCAGGATCTAAAAGAACAAACAAACAACGAAAAGATGTTTCTGTGCAATTATTTCTTCAGAGCTACACAATTCTGTACAAACCAAACTTTATATGTGTAATCGAGATATTTATCTACTAATTGGTTTATTAACACCGACTACCAATTATGTGTCACTGATAAAGAGTATAATCATAACAGAAATCTTGCGATTTCACCATAGACGACCAATGCTACGAAGTGAACTATGGCTAGAAATCTGTAATCCCTTCATATCTTCTACCTTCAATGACCATGTCTCATAGCCGTATACCAAGACAGAACGAACCACAGCGCAGTAAACTGATCCTTTAATTAACATTCTTATGTGACAGTTCAAACAGTAATTAAGAAAATGATTGGAGTGATTCGTCAGATGGGTCAATCAATATGAATAATTTCGTAGAGAGATAAGAAAGCATGCGACTGTTCACAGTTATATATTAATGATGAGTAGTGGCTAGCAGTGGAATCTAGGATGCGCATTTCGTCCTATTTGGGACTCATCAGCTGGATGTTCCTACCTTCCACACCGATCAGCCCGGTTCACTCAACAACGGGATAATACTAGCTACAACATTATTCACATTTATCATACATTCAGACCCTTTTGATATATTTGGATCAAACAAAAGAATAAAGTTTTCAGAATGAGATGGTTTCATTTTATTTCACGGGTACTCTTCAGCTGCTGCATACAGTCTAAAAGTGCAGTGGTTATTAGGATATAAAATATTTCTAAATAAGGAAATCGATAATCATTAAGTTTCACAACAAACTCACTGATAGTTCATATAACATGTAAGAGAATTAACTGTAAAGCGATGAGAAATGTAAGAAAGGGGAAATATCAATAGTAAATGAATAAAGAGTTATGTAATGGAACTGAAAACGAAACGGGATTAGGTCGTATTCACCAAGGGAATGAGAGACTAATTACACTCACTTTTTGCATGTAGAGGTCAGGTTGAAAGTGTTTCATTGCAATCACTTCCATGAAGCCCAGTAAGTCCTGTGTCTAATGAGTGTTCTTCGTCTCTGACCTCTGTAGTATTTATGATTCGATCGTGTTTCATTTTCATTATACTACTCTTTATTTATTTATCATTATTATTATATGGATTATCTATAATTTTGTTGTACAACTTAATGATTATTGATTTCCGAATGTCGCAATATCTTATATGCCTAATAACCATTACACTTTTAGACTGTATGCAACAGCTGAAAAGTACCCATGAAATAAAATGATATCATTTTATTCTGCAGATCTAGTTGTTGTTTCCTCCAAAAACATTCACATTTAATTATAGTAAAGGGGTGAATTTTGTTGATTGGAGATAACAAAAAGGGGTTGCACAAGTGGATTGGTAATTTTGATCTAAATAGTTACAACTATATGCAATACATGAGTTGATGAAATGTGCTTCAAACTAAATGAATTCTGCTTGATAATCCGATCATGATACCTTGGCTAAATCTACAAAGATGATCCCATATTCGATTGTCTGTTTGATACAGCATACACTGTGTAATGTAGTATAATTTACTGGATAACCTATCGAGCCCCATTTATCGATCATATTGAAATGGAAGTAATCATACAACTTTCGGACTTCCCTTATATAATTCAACAGTTCTTCATTCGTTTATTTTAATGGTAGTAAAAATTTTCCCGATAGCTGTAATATGTAACAAAGATTCTGTAACCAACCTCTCACTTCACCTAGACATATTAGGTTTTAGAATTGTCACCCTATTCTACCCACCGTATACGTCAGTGCATGCAGAGCAATAGCCGAGTTTTCCTCTAAATCGCTTATCTTAGAAGGGTCTACCATTGTATGCTTCGATAAATGTTTGTGTTCTGCTATTCGGACTGACCCAAATCAGTTGCTTTGAACTACATATTTGACCTCACAATCGTATTATGGTAATTGATAGATGAGGTTATTTATTCTTAATTGGCTGTATTAGATCTTTTAGCCTACAAAGTTTCTCTCTGAGCGAGTTTGTGGGTTTAAATGTCACCCTTATCCCAGCATTTTTAAGAATTCTACGTAAAATTTCCAATGTACCTTCTTTATACGGCAACACTACAGAGGATTTGAATTCCCTCCTAGACATGTTGCATTCACCACTAACATTACCACTCTTCTCTTATCAGTTTTTATAAGCTTTTCAATAAATTCCGTAGGATAATTATTCAGAATTAGTGTGTCTATTATGTATTTCATTTCCTTATTTAGGCTTTCCGACTTACTAGTCAAACTCCTAGCCCGATTATTTACAATTTTATCAAGCCTACCGTGAGATGATGTGAAATCTAAGTATCTATTCGAATGTGTTGGTTTCCTATAAACACTGGTATCTAAGCATCCATCTTCTCTCCTCTTGATTTTGCAATCCAATATAGGTAATTCTCCTTATCATTTTCTAATTCGGAAGTGAATTAGATTGCATCTACTATGGAGTTAATGTTTATGAAAAAAACTCTAATGTGTTCTGATTTCAGCACAGTAAATCTGTCATCAACATATCATCACCATACTTTTTGGGGTGGGTTGGAATGTTCCCTATGCTAGTTGTTCCCAGCTATCCATAAATCTATCTATTACGATCGAGGATATTGGAGATCCCTT